GTGCAAGTGCAACTAGGCAGATGAACAGGTAATGGTTTTGAGGCTGAGCATAGAAAAACAAGTCCTGTGGTTTGCTGGTTATTACGAAGATCTAATCACAAATGTGCTATGTTAAACCTGTCCTTCCTTTTTGGCCTGACTAAATCATCAGCTGGGTTTGAGATGATACCAACACCTTACTTCTGAAGGTAAGAGCTCTTCTCTGGTTTGGTCCAGAAGATGAACTCTGAGGCTTAGTCTTAATAAGCTGATTTTCTCAGATACTCAGAATTCGTTTTAGGAAACCAATTCTTCCCTGTGAAGGTTAGCAGGAATTGAAATTAAGCATTTTTAAAATTCAGTATTAAAAACTTCAAAATAATTTTTATTCTAAAGTGGAGCTAAAATGAAAGCGGTGAAATGGCTACTTTCCCCTCCTTTCTTGAAAAAATAACCTGAAAATCATTATAGAAATTAAGAAACTTACTTTATTGTGTCTATTGTAATAGTGTTTGAGGCATCAACCATAATAGGTCTCATTTGTATAATACAAACAGATGTAGAGGATCTCTGCTTACAGTAAATTCTTTAGTCTCTATTAAGGTACTGGATGACCTACTAACAGAATCCAGCAAGAGTCTCCTTGCTCAGAAATAGCTATCTAAATATGCAGTCAGATAAATACAAGGAAGAAACCCACATTGACTGTCATAACGTTAATTTGGCTGCTGGGGATGAGGACGTGCTTGCTGCTGTCAGAGCCCACTCAATAACTTGATACAAGAAGGGAAGTTCTGGCTCATTTGTACAGATGAGGATGCCTCCACACTGGGAAGAACACCTCTGCAAACAGTGCTGTCTGCAACTGAGACAGAAAATTTAAACATCAAGGAGGAAAAACGTGACATGAAGCAATCTGTCAAAGGGATCAGAGTCATTAAGATGAAAAAGGCTGAGTGAACTTTAGAGACTGAAAGCTTCCATAGCCTGGCAGCATACTATTGCAGGCTAGTACCTAGTTTGAATACCACCACGACTCCTGCATCAGATCTGTTCAAGAAGTAAGAGCCTGAGCAGTACAGAATGGACTTAAGGGATGTCCGAGAGTCTCTGATGTTTTAAGAAATCTTAACCTTGTTGATGAAGCATGATTTTGCAGAAGCTTTTGTGATCTAAGTCAGTTTCAGAAACTGATTTCTGGTACACAGATGTGAAAATGTAGCAATGGGAAGAAAGAGTAGAAATACTGCACCTAGGGTGAAAAGAAAACCCGCTCCCTGCTAATTCTGCGAGGCTGGAAACCATGCCAAAATCAAATGGAATAGGGTAATGACAGTGAATTTTTGTCACTTCCGGAAGATGAACTGAAGCTCTCACTGTGCTCATGGCCACGTCTGGAGTGCAAAGAACGCTGCCAGTCAGCCTCCTGGGGCTGTCAGCACGGGAACCGACACTCGCTGGAGCTGATGGCAGAATTGAGATATTCCAGACTTACGAGTTAAAATCATAGCAGACAGCAGGTACAACAGATACCTGCACACTTATAATCAAGTGCAAAAAAATGCACGTCTATCACCTACTCCTTAACAGCCTTGGCATGGCAGGTACTTGGCTTTCAATCATCAGCTGGCTGAAAATGTCACAAAACACTCTACCTGACAAGCCAAGTCTCCTTAGAAATCTGGTTTGTGGAGATCTCCTTATGATAGGGAATACGACAGTTCTGAGCAAACCTGGGCTTGGTTGGAAAGTATCAATGCTGACAGAGCCCATGCCCTTCCTTCCTCGGGGCACAGAAGGACAGAGAGCCGGGGAAAAAAATGAGATAGTCCGGCTAGGAAGTGCATAGGCTGGACTATGTACCGGTGGCCAGCACTACCATGCCACTGACTTGCACAGACGCACAAAGTAGAACAAGGGCTTTGTTCAGAAGTATCATCACATTTCCTCAGACACCATCCTTTACAAACTGTGCTGATACTGCACTGAACAGATGAATTTTTAGCCAAAAAAAAGACGAAGTTTGGAGAAAACCCAAGGATGATTACTGCTTTCAGAATAACAAACGTTTCATCCAGGAGAAATTCTGCAATGACAAAATTGAGCCAACCCTTTCTTTTATCACAACCATGGGAGCTAAAACTTTTTTTTTTGCTTCTTTCCCTGTGCTATTTTTCCCCTGTACTGCGTAGTTGGTATTGCTGCTTCAGAAAACTGTGGGAGTCTGAGCTGAACTCTGTAATTGTTGAGAGGGAAGAGTTTGGGACTGGTGCAATAGTGATGAGACAAAACACCCAGAAAGAACAAAAACAAGATATAGAGGAGGTTTTGTGTCAGATCAGTGCAAGAATTACTAGTTAATGGTCACTAGCACAATATAATGATGGCCATAAACCTCCTATTTCTTTAAACAGATCTTTAAATCTAAATCTTTAAACAGATCCAAGGAAGTGCCAGATACACAAAGGCCTCCTCCCAAGCACATCCAAAAGTTTAAATCAATTAACATTCTAGTGACTAAATTTTCACTCAATTTCTAAATAATAACAGCTGTGAGAAGTAATGATGTTAGCGCACATTCATCCTCATTTTAGCTCTCTTGACTCCTAGGATTAGTGAGGAAGAGGTATTTGCCTTATAAGATAGGCTAAATATATGTAAGGATGATTGTTTCATAACAATTTAAAACATGAAAAAGTCTGGCTTTCATCTGCAGATGGGGCATGCACTGATACACTACAGAAGCTCTAATTATCCACTTACAATTATAATTACAGGGATTGTCTCAAGCTGCCAGTCACTTGCCTTCAACATTCTTAGTAGTGAACTATTTACATTCCCTGTCTCCAACCATAATATTTGATACAAGCTACACCTGCAAAGTTTTCATCATTAGCATCAGGCTGGAAACAGCATGTCCAAAGACCTTTATGGGCTTGAGTGGAAATCTTGAATTTGGACCAAGAGGCCTTCAATAAAGTCTGTTAGGAACTCTTCACCTACTGCAGATCAGTAGATACTTTTAATAGCAGAACTGGCCCCACTCCAGAACTTGGCCTTAGCTGCTGCAGGCACTTGGAAGATAAATCAGCAACTTCAAGAGGCGAGGAGCTAGCTGTTCTGTACGCAAGCATCCCTACAGATGCTATGTTCTACTGCTTGCAAATTATAAGCAGCTATCCACTGCAGGGGCTATCTATCTCGTTCTCCCATGCATATCATCAATCAGCTTCACTCAAGCTATGAAACCCAAACAAAAATAAAATGGGTAGTTATTTAATGTTCTTATTTACCATGGGGTAAGCTAAAATACAAAGGAGCACAGCCTAGAAATGAGGGCAAGACACAAAGTGTCTAGTCTGTCCTCATTTATATCGGAATTATCCTGCACCGATTTAAATGAAGCCAGGACTTCTCTTGAGAATCAGCAATAAAGCCCAGAAGCAACGTTTTTTTTTGCCCACCCTCCTTTGTCTTCACAAATATGAAGCCTATTCAGTAAAAGTTTTTAAAAAGCTTGAAATTTCTCACTTTAGGGTTCAAATAAACTCAAACTCAGACCAAACTCTAGTAACAATAGTTAAAATGAACAGAGATTAATGATGCATACTATTTGAATTTTGAAAGCAAAATTTACCTTGTTCAGAATGACAGCTCAAGGATGCAAATTAAGAACTGGAAATCATGTGGGATATAGGCTTTAGGTGAGCCTCTCCACAGAAGACTATAATTTACTCAAAATTAATATTTTATACTATTTTTGTGCTCTTCATATAAATAGCTCTTTAAATGAGGAAAATATCAGATAAAACTCATTTAACAGCAATATAGAGATCTGAATCTGAATCTGATTTCTGTTTTGACAAAAATCATGCTGATACTCAAAATTTGTTCAGACATCAACCAAACTTAATGGCATATTAAACACCAGTGATGTTTCCTTTTACTTTTTTTTTTTTTTTTTTTTAAAGTAACTGAACCAAACACAGTTTGATTTTCTTCACTTGACACACCTATTAAAAATTCACACCGTTCTTTCAGGGATCTTAGGAATCATTCTCACTTCTACCACTGTGTAATTTTGTGCCAGTCTCTTAACTGTGTTATGTTCTGTTTCCGTTCTGTCACTTGTAAGATAAATGTACCTATGCTACAGATTTGATACTGTAAGATTTAGTAAACATTTATGAAACTCTGAGGCCTTGGAGCATAAAGGGCTATGGAAACATTCCTCTGATTGTCTTAAAAATCAGGGATCAAAATGTAAAATCACATTACAGTGGGAAATGGAATTTCAAGACTGCAGCCTTACCTCTGCATGCACCTTTGTCCCTACTTAGGGAATACAGTGCATTTTCCC